GAGAGAGAGAGAGAGAGAGAGAAAGAAAGACAGCCAGCAGAAAAAGAGAGAGAGCGAGTGGACAGAAATATTTGGAGTGGCACAAATAATTTCTGTGGCATCTTACTGAATGCAGAACAGCTGATTGTTCTGTAAATAGTTTGAAATGGTTATTAAAAAAAGAGGGTAAAAGGTAAATGGCTGCAAATAACTTTGTTGTTTCCAAAATTGTGCATATGATTTTAAAATGGACAATTTATATTAGTTATAGTTATAAAATATGATTCAATAAACATGTTTGTGGTTGTTACAGTGAAAAATATAACTTTTTCTACTCAGTTTTCTTGGTCTGATTTTAGATCAATTGTGTTAATACAGTACATCAAAATGAAAACATAACTGTAAATTCAGACACGTGAGGTTGTGCTGAAAAGAATGATACCAAACAAGGCAAAGTAAATAGTTTTTAAAGGTAAAATGTGGAGGGAAAATCAAAAGTAGTTAAAAATGGCCAATTATACCCAGGACCCCAGAGGGTTAAACTTTTTCTTTTTTTTTAAGTAATGCAATAGTTACTTTTCAAGTAATTAATTACTTTTAGAATCTTGTAACAGTTACTTCTTCAAAAAGGTAACTGAGTAACTAGCAACTATAATTAATTACCTTTTCAAAGTAACTTGCCCAACACTGCTCCCGAGTCCACAGTCCACTGTTTACCTCAGCTGCCTATGCCGGGTCAAAAACAGCCGTGTCTATAATGATTGATACGACTCGATGAGTCAGTGACGCTTACTTCTGTCTGATGATATTGATACTGAGTTCCTGAGGATATCGTGGGATTTTCTGTCAGTAAGCGCTGCTGTTTTTGTCGCTGTTAGCTAGCGTCGCTGAAACAGTTTTTGAAATGGATCTAACATCTTAGTGAATGATGCTTGGTAAACTTAGCTGATGCCAGTGACGTCTTTTTCCTTCGTGTTTTTACTTCTTTGGCAAAGCGGACCTCTTCTCCATAAAAGTAAAACACAAGTAAGATTCCTCATATTTTGAGCATGAAGGTTCAGTGAATCTTCCTCCACTACAAGCAGACACCTTCAAGTTCTCCTCTGCATTTCCAATATTACATATTTGACCACCTCTAGCAACGTAGGTAAAACACAAATGGGTGGAAGGGCAATGTCCACCTCGGCCACTGTGTTCAAGATGACGGGGCAACATGACAGCGTCTTCAAAAGAGCGCCCACTTGTATGTATTTTTAATAGACATTTTTGAGAACACATCAATTAATTAAACACTAATCAATGTATATATGAGTATAATATTATTTCTTTCTATTAAATAACCTAAAAAAACAACTTAATGCACCTTTACGTTTGTGCATGTGTGTGTGGAAACAAAGTTCCTATCTAATGGTCAAAAATGGTCTTTTAAGAGTTAACCAGGACCAACTCAGCCAAAAAAAACACAACTTTTTTTCCTTTTTTGTGAACACCACTGAGTTGGCTTATTGAAAAACACTTTCTCTCAGCGAAAATAAAAAGCTGGCAAGATGGGCAGCCTGGCAGTGCCCTTGTTTGGTTCCTGGCACCGACAATCACGTCCCCTCTCCTGTTCAACAATGGAGGGGAAATATTAATTACCGTTTTGTCAGAATTAATACTGTGTGCAGGAGGGAAGGAGAAGAGAAAAACAGAGAAGCCTATCTCGAATGAGGCTGTGCCTGCCCAGTGCTAGCTAATTACATTCTCACCAAACATTTCAAGGGGAGTTATGAAAACCAAAGCAAACCAGGGTGCCAGTGGACTCCATCCAACACAGTAGTGACAGATGCCATTTCATTATGTTTTTACTGGCTAACTTCCTCTGATCTTTTGTTCAGCTCGAGCAGCTTCTTTGAGGTGGTGTCAACTGTAGCGGCGCTGGTGGTAAGCACTGACTTTTAAAAAAGATTGTAATCCTGTTGAGGGGGTGGAGGGGGAGTCTCGGTGCATGACTGACTGAAGATTTTATTGAAATATGTCTCGCTCTGATCTCTTGCCTTCTTGTTCCAGCTAGGAACTATTTTCCTGTCAAGACAAAGCACGAGTAATAGAATCAATCTTTGCCTCACTTTCCGGAAAACATACAGCAAATGGGGAAAAATAAACCTGCAGCCCCTCCCCCTCTAATGGCTTGTTGGTCTTCTATTAATCAGCCAAGATAAAGAGCTGCAAAAAGCTATAAATTCAAAGTATTCTTTTAATTTGCCTAAGTGCATCTGTCACCCATCCTGTCACAAGGACCCAGCCCTTGATCAATGTGCTTGCACTGACCTTTACGCAGGGGATTAACATAGCAAGAGCTGCTCTGAGTATTGCGTTGAGTATTATGAAGGCTAATCTGCTTTATTTCATGACCTATTATGATATTTTTATTGGTGGTCCTAATTGATCTCAGTAGGATATTACGCTGACAGCTTGACATTGAGTAAAGTGCATTGTTCTTAAGCTCAACAACAACAACAATTTGTTAGTTTTTTCATTTTTGACCCAAGTTATCATAAATCTTAAACGACACACATGAAATAATAATAATTGTTATTATAGTCATAATGAGAGGCTGTAAACAAATAAAGGACTCTCTATTCTGGGTGTTTAAGTTGTTTCCAAGAAACAAACCTTTGACCTTGACAAGAGAAAATATGGAGTCATCTGATTTCAAAAACACTCTCCTGCTTGTACGGACACACGGCCGTCTTCAGGTCCCCGAGTGTGACTTTTCTGCTCTCCTTGATGCACATGGCTTATTTAAGACGCCCGAACGGGTCAGTCGAAGGTGAATTGCTCACACAAGTGGGAGCCGGCTCGGGACCGAGCGCCTGACCTTTTTCCTTCGAGCCTGTTTGATTGGGTTTTAGCACTCTGTTAGCATCAGGAGGCCCTCAAATGGATTGCTGTCAGGGCCGGCAGACATGCCAAGTGGAGAAAGCGACAGTGCTCCTGCTCTCGTTGCGAGTTGACCGGCGATCCCTTGCGCATCACTTCTGCGCCGGCTCATCCATCCCGACCCCCTCCAGCCCCCCAATCCCCCTAACACGCACACACAGCTCATTCCCTCGCCTCACCTTCGTTCACTTCCTTCCTTAATCTCCATTCTCACTCTGTCAGCTCTCTCGTGCCCCAGGAGGAGGCATAGGCCCCCGTCAATTAGGCTTGAGTTATTGCTGAGATATAGCCAACACAATCCAGTGTTCCAGTCGGGAGATGGAATCTTATTGACAGATCATTCCCCGTAATAATACCTACTCGCAGTCGGTATTGGCAGGCCGTTTTATAAAGCCATTCCACACTTATCAGCAGACTAGTGCACTGCCAGGTGTTCACACCTGTGGAAAACTGCTTAATTTCAAGGCACCAGGGTGCATAAACATTACTATATGTTACTCTGACCCCGTGACAGACAATATAGCCCAAATGTGCAAATTGACCCCTCTGGCTCAGTGACAACTTCATTTTCTCATCCAATTTGTCACAGTTTGGCTTTAAGCTGCAGCCATGACACAAATCATGCTCGCTCACACTTGTAGCAGCAGGGTCAGTCTCCTTAAATGATCTGCTCTACTATATGTATTTTCTTGTTGGCTGATCTACTGCACCTGTTTGAACAGAGCTACAGAGATTCCAAACATGACTATTCAAACAGCGACAAGAAACAAACAAAAAACCAGACGTCTTTTTCTGGCTTTAGAAGAATAACACGGATGAACATATTTTGAGTATGTAAATAGATTAGCGCTGCCAGCGGAGGGTAGAAATCAATTTCCAACCACAGGAAACGAGGGTCCACAAACCCAGACTTCCTTTTTAATGATTAATGATGGAAGATATTGAAGCCATGCTCTTTTTCAGGCTTAAAACGTCCACAATCTTATTTCCAGATATCTGCGTTACAATCCTTTCTTTGTCTGGCCTCTCTTAATGCTATAAAAGGCACCTTCCATCAAAGATAAACCTGTAATAGCAGCGTATCCGGCCAGCTAAAACTATTATCCATACATCTAGTTTGCATTGCTGGTGAGATGGTAGGCCTCGGAGAATCCAGACATGCCTCTTACCCGTGCACATTAGGGAGCCAATTTCATTTAATTTGGTCTCCACTATGGTGTGATATCTATTGATATACTGAAAAGCAGGTGGAGTTGCATTTAATCCAGTGCCCACAAACAGGCCTGCTGTGTGTATTTATATGTATATATTAGAAATGATGGGGGTGGGACTACAATATGTTGTTGATTATCCAAACTGTCACT